GCACCTGCAAACTCACCTGAGACCCCCACAGGCTGGGGGGAGGGGGAAGCAGGGGCCAGCCCAGCCAGCAGGTACCGATTGACCAGGGGCAGCCAGGCCAGGCCAGCCCCGGCTGGGAACCGGGCTCAGCACGGCCTCCCAGCCCCCCAAGGGGTAAAGGGTGTGAACTCTCTCCCCTGGCAGCCGCATGGGGCTCATGGCCACAAGAGGGAGCAGAGGCAAGGGCAAGGCCCTTTCTTTCCATCAGGAAATATCCCCATTACATTAATATAACCCCCCCCCTTCCCAGCCTAGGGACTCTCAGCCCTGAGCAATTCAATGCAGGAGTCCGAGGGCTCAGGTCCACAGCCACCACTCCAACCCTCTGAAGGTAGCTCCAGGCCTCTGCCCCAAGGGGGTTCGGTATAAACTTGCTACAAGGCCATTACACTAGGTTGCAGACAGTGGGAGGGGTAAAGGCTCCCCCCCACCAGGGTACATTACAGCAGCCCTGAGACTGCTCTGACTTCCACTAGGAGCCAGCTGAGGTCTGTGCAGCCCAGGCCAGCAGTAGCACAAATACCAAGTGCCCAAGAAACTCTCCTGAGGTGTGGAATTAACTGCAGAGCAGCCAGAGCAAACCCAGGTGAGGGATGGTGCTAGAGGGGAACTGAGTCTGTGTCCTTAGATCTGCTGCTGAGGCAGCCTTCACTGGCAGGGGGAAAAGGATGGCACTAGTTATCACCAGGTGTAGGGACACATTTTACCGTGTAGATGCAGCCGCTGGAAACCAGAGCCCGACCCAGCAGGGTGACTGAGCAGGTGCAAACACCAGCACCCCAGCCAGCTAGCTTTGAGCTCGACCCCTCAGTGCCTGACTAGCAGCAGTCATTCCTGGAGCCATAGCCCTGCCAACAAGGTCCACATGTAAGCAACCCCCTGGCAGCTGGCTGGGGCACCCCTTTCCCCTCTCAGAGCCAGCAAGGGGGGGGGGGAGGAAAGAGATGCAGCGACCCACAACAGGGCATTTTGCCCCTCCAGCCCCAACCCAAACCACCAGGCAGTTCAGCCCTCCCTCCCCCTGAAATGGCTTCTGCAGCCTGAGGCAGTCCTTAATCCCCTGGGGTAGGGGAAGGTGCAGCTGCCTAGGGACTCCCCATCTATGAGCAACATGCCACTCCGTGGAGCTGGAATTGCCCTGCCCATGGTGCAGACAGCCCCCAGCCCTGGCTGACAATTTGAGATAATGTTTATCCATGCAGTGCTGCTGCTAGTTGGGCAGATTCTATTTCCCACCCAGCCCCTGTTCCCCAGACTCCCTATCTTGGGCCCTTCTGAGGGGGCAAACAAAGGCCTATGCTCATTACTGCTCCAGTGAGAGCTCATGGCACTATTAAACCTCCCTCTCCCCCCCACCTGCTGGGACTGCAAAAGCTTGGCATGGAAGCAGGTAATTACAGCCCTATTAGCTTCCTTCCAGCATCAGCCCTGTGAGAACCAGCCAGGCTGCAGTGTCCATGACAAACAGGGCAGAGGTGCTCTGTGGGTACCTGCTGCCCTTGGGTAAGCAGAGCCTGGAGAGTGCCAGAGGCATACCCCAAATGCCTCTTGGCACGTACCCTATGAGAATGGGCCCTTCCATCCAGGCCTAAGGCTGCCAGGCAGGAGGAGAGTTGGGACCAATCATGCCCAGTAGGAACTGGGATGAACCAGTTACAGGCCAGCCCAGAACCATGTGGGCACACAGGATCACCCCCTTTCCCCACTTCTGACCTGAACTCACCCCAGCCAACAAGCTCCCTTGCCTTCTCCTGGGACCCAAGCTGACCCCTCCTGTCACTCATTAACAGAGTAGTGCACCTGCGGATGTGGTCAGCCCAGCTCTTATCAGGCGGGAGCAGGTGGCCAGATGCAGCCCCGCTGCTCTGCTTTTAAACAGGGGCCTGCTACATTCACACTCCAGGCTGCTGCTGGGCAGAGGTGTTTGAGCCAGAGGCTGCTCAGGCCACTTGGCCACCTGCATCCTGGAGGAACTAGCACCAGACATGCCATCCCGTTCACTCGGGCCTTAAACTCGCAGCTCCCAGCTCCTGAGAAGCATGTCCTCAGCCACAGGCCAGAGGCAGTTTCCTGCTAGTCACACCCCAGCCCAGAAAGTTACCCCGATGTAAGAGTAGGTGGGGGCTGGGCTCAGACTGGCCCTGTGTGGGAGCAGCGGGTGCATGGATGGGGTGGGCTTTGCCAACAGGCACCTTCATAAATCCGGTGATCACCCTGAGCTGTGGTCAGGCCAGTTCCAGCCCTGAGCACCTGCTGACAGGCTGCTCAACTGCACCCTCTGCTGACCAGCCAGCCCCGGGACAGGCCTAACCCACCCAATGCTCCAGCCAGCCTCTGGCAGAAAGGCAGAGAACTACTTCAGGGAATTCTCACCCAGCTCTGTTCAGTGCCCCTCGCCCAGAGCCAGGCCTGGGCTCAGACAGGAAACTGCTTTTTCTAAACAGCGTTGGGGGTTCCCCCTTCATTCCCTTTTGCCTCCATGGCAGGGCACATGCCCAGTCCATTCGGATGGGACAAGGAGGCCCAGGGCAGGGAAGTGAAAGTCTCAGCTGTTCCCCCACTTGTGCCTGTCACAAATCTACAGCCCCAGTGGCTCGGGGTTTAGAAACAAGTCCTTTGCTACCCTCATCTGACCCCCTCGGGCAAATGCAAGCCAGAGCCAGGAGGGAGAGCAGGCCCTCTCCGTGTCAGAGGAGCCAACTCCTCCTCCCCCCCACCCCCAACCAGCTAGTGAGACAAAAAAAAACAGCAGCTTCACTTAATACACTGATTTTGTTTTACTTACATTAAATACATTGGTAAATCAGCAGTTGAATTCTGTTACCATGATTGTTATTTTAAATGCAATGTAGCTTTCTTAAAGCAGAAAAAAAAAAAAGATTGATCAGAAAAAGATGCAAGCTTGGGGGGAGGGGGCTTTTGAAAGCTGCAGTGTCCCAATTTGGTCCAGGGATTTAGTCAGAAAACACTCCATGGAAGAGAGGGTTATGGACACTGGTGAAGGCAGGGGACTCTGGGCTCCAGCTTTGCCAGAAGCCAGTGGGGCGGATGCTGCATGAAGAGCAGTGTTTGCTGGACAGGGAAGCAGAGGGGTGTAGACAGAAAAAGTTTTCACCAAGGACAGAGCCCCCCATGGACAAGTGAAGCCTGAAATCTGCAGCGGCGTCCCTTGGATTAGTGGCAGGGGGAGTTGTCACATCACTGTAGGGATTGGAGAAGAGATTTGAACACCCATGAGGCAACGCCACACTTCAGCCCTCCCAAAGTTGTCCTGGCCTAAGAAAAGCCCCCTCCCTCAGTCCCCCAAGTCAGTGGGCGGGTAGAGGGCCCTGAAGAAGCTAGCTCAGCCTCCCAGCCACATCCTGATCACTTTCCCACCCCTCTTGGGCAGAGCCTGGGGCTTCCCCTGCCTAGCTGTTTCTCTATTTTGACTCTGCTTGTCCCAGACAAAACTAGATGAAGACAGGGCCTGCTTCCACATACAGGAGGGTTCGGCTGGTGCTAAGGGTATCGCATCCCCCTTTTTGGAGCACTCGACCAGGGAAGAAATCTCTTCAAAGCCACCTCCACAGCAGACACCCAGGCCAGTGTCTTAGACCTGCTCTCCCCAGCACACAGGGGACACCGGATTTTAAAAATATGATTGAAGCGGTGAAAGGAGCCAGGACGGACAGCGCCCGAGGCTGTTTATGCAGAGGACAGGTGCAGGGGTTAGGAGAATCCCTTGGCCCGTGTGCTGTGCCCCTGCTCTGGGAGATGTCCACAAGAGGCACTGTTCAGCCTCCAAGCCACCCAAGGAAAGCCATCAGCTTGCACCAACTGTAGGGATGATTCTCGGCAGGTCACTACACACCCAAGGGGGACTCAGGTCAGTTCAGAGCCAGAGCCAAGGGACTCCGTTTCTCCCCACATCTGGGCAGGGCATCAGGACTGCTCTGCTGTCTGCACATTCAGCCACAGGGGGGAGCAGCTGCCTGGGCAAACCCCAGTAAGACAGAGCTGCTCCGAGCAGGACCCTCCTAACAAAATTACAGGGCACTGCTCTGATCCACAGGGGATCAGCTATTACAGAAGTGGCACCGTCGGCATCCCATGCAGCCCACCGGGACCAAGCACTATTTACAGCCAAAACAACAAATGCTGCTACTTTGCAAGTGAGAGCTTGTCTTCCCAATGAGCCCTCAGCCGAGTTGGTTACACTGCATAGACAGGGACTGTGTGCAACAGGGTGGGTGCCTGTCTGACTGGTCAACGTAGCCAGCTGGGGATGGCCTTGGATCAGAGAAGCAAAAGACACTCCGTGTGAGCACATGACAACCTGAGTGCGTGGAGAGGACACAGACTGGATGGTGCTCCGATGCCAAGACAACCTGCAAGGGGAACGGACAGGCCTCTAGGTAACCAGCATGTTTCTTTTCCAAGGGGAGGGGTTGCATTGTTGCTGGTGTCCCAGAGTGGGTAGGAGACCCTCCCCCCACTTCGCCCAAATTCTAGCCCATGTAAGACTCACAATGGAGCAGGCTCCAGCCTGGGGAAGGGGAGGTACAGAACACAGCCACTCCACTGAGGACCAGGAAGGCAGGCAGGTCCTCTACCCCTGAATGGCCTCTCATTCTCCTTCACCTCCTGTGTAACAGAAACTCCTGCTCCCATGTCCCTCCAGGAGCTCCCTAGATCCTTGGCTCGGTGCGCTCCTCACCCCTACTACAGGCAAAGAGCAGTCATCCCTGCTCAGTGACCGTCTTATGTCCTGTCCATTCTGAAGAGATCCTGGTCAGTCACTTGGGTCCAAAGGGCAAAGTAACAGACAAAGCAAGCCCAGTTTCCCTGCACGGAGCTCTGCAGCTTACATGACAGGAATAGCCTAGAGCCCAGGAAAAAAAAACAAAAAACAAAAAAAACCCACACACAACACACTTTGGTGGGTTCCTCAAACCGAGAGCTTCTTAACAGAGGGAGCAAGCAGAAATCAGTAGATCCCTGCCTCCCAACGAGGCTCATGAGCCTTCCAGATAGCATCAACTGCACACAGCCCAATGCGAGCTTAGCCCAACTGGACAAATCGGAGATTAAAGTGCAATCCAGAGAACTCGCACGGCTGGTGAGAGGGGAGGAATAAACCCACAGCTCCGAGAGGACAGGAGCTTGAGGTGCGTGTCATTGCAAAATGCCAGCCGCAGCAGGAACTTTGGGGTACAGACCCTCCCCCCCACAAGGTCAGTACTAACAAAACCATCTGCCACACAGCAGTAGAACCTGCCCAGCACATGATGCTAAGTGCATCGGCCTGGTGTGACCAAGATCAATGGGATTACTTAGACTTATGGGACAGTATTTATACCTTATATTCATAGCGGCACAGTTCATGATTCTATTCATGCTACTGAGACTCAGTGGCACTTAGGGTCACCATCTATGTTTGTTTCACAGCGATCAACACTTGCAAAAAATCAGAATCCTGCTGCATCACAGGATCCCAACCCCTTGATCTCCTCCTCCCTCCCCCCAATCACTTCTGATCCCTTGACAAGAAGGCCACCCAGGAAGAAATTAAGGACACTGCAGCCCCTCCCCCACCCCCAACACTGAAACAGATGAAAAAACAGGAGAAAGAGTAAACCCACAAAAAGACACCCTCAGAAAACGGTGTTTTCTGTAGGTCCCCATTCAACTTAGTCTTCACAAAATAAACCTACAAGGATTAAATTCCCACCTCCTTTGGACCCCTCCCCCCAGCATTAAAAAAGGGAGAAGGGGACAGATGTTATGGGACAGAGAAGAGATTTACCAAAGCAAAGAGGAAGCAGGTAGGAAGGGAGGAATTATTCGGGAGATTGGGAATCAATCAGAATTAGGTAGCTATTTGCACCTATAATACAAAGTGAAGAGTTTGTTTTTTGGAAGTTAAGTCCCCGGTCGATCTATTTCCACGGTCACTGGAGTGGTGGTAACAGATGTCTGGTGGTGGTTCTGAAGCATTAAAAAGTGCAGTTAGAGCTCTGGGGAGGGATTCGGTTCAGACGGGTTTCGGTGTGCCGTTGTTAGGGGAGGCGAAGTGTGGTGGGCAGGGGTGGGAATGGAGGTTATATCTTAGCTCTTCCTCTCGCGCTGGCCTCTCTCGAAAGCCACCCTTTAGTTGCTACAACACTGGCCCTTGTTCTGCTGGGTCTGCTCGTGAAGGTCCACACCTCGGTTTCTTCCTGCCGCGCCACTCGTGCTCTGGGGCTCGCTCTTTGGCAGCTTCTTGGCTGGAGGAAGGGAAACAGAAGAGTGAGCAATGCCAAAGGAGGGGGAAGAGTGACAGTTCCCGGCCTCTTCAGACCCCCGGGGAGCAATGTTCCTTCTAAATGTTTCCATCCGTGTGTGGAATAAATTTTGTTATGTACACCAAGGCATGCACATAAGTGCACCACCCAGAGCGAAAACATGCTGCCGGTCACGGGCACTTCGGCGCTCTGCTAATCAGCTGGGCGGCATCTGACTCTCTCCTGGGTGGCTGCCCAAGCGCTCAGCTTACAGGGAACACCACTGGGGACACAAGGACAGCACTGGCCACCTTCTGCCTTGGGTGGTTCTCACCTGGGCCCATTTTGGAGGCTCAAATTTGGATTTCAGAGACATTTCCCAGCTGCCCCCACTCTCCAGCACAAGTGTGCTCTGTGGGGAACTCAGCTCTTGCCCATCTGCATCCTCTCAAGGCCAGGGCCAAAGAACTGGCTGGGGCCCCTCCCTCCTCCTTCAGAGCCCT